GTGAAATTCTCAGGATGCAAGTTTGTCTCTTATTGAATACATTGGTAAACAGAATCTATTTATTTTATATCTTTCTATTTCTCTTTATAGTTTGATGACCACTGGAGAGAACATTAGTGCGCTTCTGTGTATGCGCTGAAGTGTCCGTGGACTCATTCTGTGGTGGCTCAGGCTTTCGTAGAGCCCTAGGGTTATGATTGCTAGTATTCTCTGGGAAGTAAATATGCAAGGTCACGTGATTCTGGAAGGTGTGGGACACAAAACCAAAGGGCCATTAAACTCAGGACAGATCACATTCGTTCCTCCCACAAACTGGTTTACTTGTCATTTATCTCTTTCTTCGTATGTGTCAGATAATTAAATCACTTTTGCTAAAATATTACTTTTCTGTGTTTCTTTCTAATCCTGCTCATTCCACCCTGTCCTGAGACATTTTATTACCTGCTAATCACAGGTCATCTCCAGGAGCACCTGTTTCTCTTTAATTATCCTTCACATTTAGTTCCAATGTCAATGACATCCACCTCACTCTAAATCCCTGATTTAAAGAAAAAAATCTGCACTGCTTTGAAATAGATTCAAGTTGATTGCAAGAAAAAAAAAAGCCTATTTAAGTCCATTTGTTAGGTAATGATATGTCAAAACTTACTGGAATAGGTAATAAATCGTTACTGAGCTCCGGGTTGTTACACATTATTAATAACGAGAGTCATCATTATTTTTCAGCAGGGACATAGATATACAGAGTCACCTTCCTGTGTTGTTTTAGGCTCAGAGTCCCTTTCCAAAGGATTTTAAAGAGTGGCAATCATGCAGCAATCAAAGACCACAACCTTGTCATCTGAAGTCACTGGTTCCTTGTTGATTAAGCTTCAGTTTGCCGTTAAGTTTTATGAGACCATAGGGACTCTTTTAGTGAAACAACAGCTTTTATATATTAACACTCTGCCCCAACTGCTGGCTCTACTGCAGAGACACTACCACCCTCTCTTTTCTTTCAATAATCTCACTGACACCATGGTTACTGTGACGTCATCGCAGTTAACCTTCCATGCCAGCAGGTTCTGTGTCTGAAGATTCAGCAAACCAGACTACAAATATTCACAATGAAAAGCTGTGTCTTGACTAAAAGTGCTCCATATCCCCGTAATAATACCAACAATATTTTTCTCAGAACTAGAAAAGCAATCTTAAAATTCATATGGAGGAACGAAGACCCAGAATAGACAAAACAATTCTGAGCCAAAAGACAAAGCTGAAGGCATCACAGTATCCAACTTCAAAATATACTACAGACACATAGTAACTAGCACTGCAAGTACTGGCATAAAACCAGACACATAGGCCAACGGAACAGAATACATGACACAGAGACAAAACCACAGGGCTACAGTCATCTGATTTTTTATAAAGGTGCCAAAAACATACATTTCAGAAAATAGAGCCTCTTTAACAAATAGCACCAGGAAAACTGGATTTCCTATTTAAAATATTGAAACTAGATCTTTAACTCTCACCTTGCACAAAAGTCAACTCAAAATGGATCAAAGACTTAGAAATAATACCAGAAACCTTGCAACTACTAGAAGAAAATAAGGGAAATGCTCTAAAAAATAAGGTGTAGACAAGAACTTCATCAATAAGACTCCTATATCTTAGGAAATAATACCAAGAATTAATATATAGGATGGCATCAAACTAAGAAACTTCTGCACAGCAAAGTAAACAAGAGCATGAAGAGAGAACCTATAAAGTAGGAAAAAATCCTTGCCAGCTAGTCTTCTAAAAGAGGATGATGAATTTCCAGGATAAAGAACTAAAAAAACTCAACACCAAAAAACTGAAATAATCCATTTAGTAAAAAGGTAAATGAACAAAACAGACACTTCTCAAAAGAAGTACAAATGACCAATAATTATATGAAAAATATTCAACAGCTTTATCCATCAGGGAAATGCAAATCAAAACTATACTGAGATTCCATCTCATTACACTCAGAATGACAATCATCAAGAATACAAATCATAATAAAAGCTGGTGAGGACTCAGGGCAAAAGGAACCCAATGCACTGTTGGTATGGATGTAAATTAATACAATCAATGTGGAAATTAGTATGCAGTTTCATAAAAAAAATGAAAATGGTACGACCATATGATCCAAATACACATCTTCTGAAAAGAGAGCATACTTTAGAGATGCATGCATGCCCATGTTTATAGGCGCACAGTTCACAATGACAAAGTTATGGAACCACCCTAGGTGTCTGTCAACAGCTAAAGGGCAAGAAATCTTGATAAATATACACAATGGAGTTTTACTTAGTCATAAAGAAGAGTGAAATAATATCAACTTGCAGGAAAATGGGTGGAACTGGAGAGAATCATGTTAAATGAAATAAACCAGACTCAGAAAAACAAAGGATGTATGTTTTCTCTCATATGTGGGAGCTAGAGAGAAGAAAGTGAAAAAAGGGGGATTTCATAAAAATAGAAGGGAGACCATGAGGGTAAAGGAAGTTGGGACAGAGAAGAGGGAACGTGCCGGGGGTGAAATTTATCATTATCCTATGTTATGTGCATGTATAAATATGCCATGATGAAACCCACTACTCTGTGTAATAAATATGCACCATTCAAAAATTTTAAAAATTGCTCCCATACTTAACATGTTCAGACTATTTTCTCTTGTCATTTTTCCTAATGTCATAATAACTATTCTCCTAGCATTTATTTGTATCGAGCATTATAAATCATCTATAGAGAATTTAAATATGGAAGGATGTACATCGGTTCCCTGAAGATACTATTGACATTTTATGCAAGAAACTTACTCATCTAATACCAGCTTTGGGTATACAGGGGGTCCTTGAACAATCTCCTGCAGATACTGAAGGACCAGTGTAGTCTGATTGCTCATCTAGACTCATAATCAGAATTAGTCCAGAAAAAATAGACTTAGAGAGTACATGTTTTGTATGCACAACATCCTGGATTGGATACCTTAACTCCAAAAAAAGAAAGAAGAGAAGAAATAAAATGGAACTGGGTGAAATTTTCACATGGTATCTTCTGTTTACTTCTGTGTTCCTCTTTGTCTCCACTCTGAGACCCATACCTTTTCTAACCTTTGGTTATTAAAAAATTTCCCACCCTGTCTCTTTGCTGAGCTCCCATGATTATCTCTGTGTGCTCATGCCTTCCTTATTATTTCTCATCAAAACATCCTCATTTATGTTCCATACATTTAGAAACCTGCTGGGTAGCTGGCTTAATGTTTTCTGACCAAGATAACTAATTCAAATTTAACTTTGCCAAACACTTATTAAGCACCTATTCTGCAAAACAACAAAGAACAGAAGAAAGGACTTGCAGTATTTGTCACTGTGTGCTTGAGGTTTTTTCTTAATGTAATGTCCTTCAGTACTGTTCATGATTTAGCAAATTACAGAATGTCATTCTTTGTTATGGCTGAATAATGTTCCATTCTGTGTGCATTTTCTTTATTCATTCACCTGTGAATGGGCGCCTAAGTTAATTCCATATCTTATAATACTATATGTTCTCACTTATATGAGGAAGCTAAAATGCTGATCCCATAGAAATAGAAAACAGAATGTTGGCTACTAGAAGCTGGGAAGAGTGAAGAGGAGGAGGATGGAGAGATAATGGTTAAAGGGTATAAGGTTGCATTTGGATAGGAGACATAACTTCTAATGTGTAACAGCAAAGGAGGGCAAGCAACCATGGTTGAAAATAACCAGTTGTGAAGTTTGAAATAACCAGTGGAGAGGATTTTGGTATTGACCAAGAAATGGTAAATGTTTGGGGTGACAGAGATGCTCGTTACTTACTCTGATCTTATTGTACACATGTGTTGAAATAATTATTTTTTGTCAATTTAAAATAAAAATATTTTTAAAACATATACACAAAACATGTAAATGATTAATAATGATAATGATAATAATAGAAAAAAGTTATGAACTTTGGAGGTGGACAGATCTGCTTTTATATCTCCACTTGATACTTACTAGCTGGGCCATCACAATATATAAGGATGAGGATCTTAAGTAAAAAAATTCGTGAATATTATCTTATTGAAATGGAAGTGCTGGGAGTTCTACGTTATACCTAGAAAGGAGTTCGGCATAGACTGAGTGCCTCATAAATATCTGATCTGCCTACTGTTATATACCACTGACTATACTACATGCTGAAAATTCAATGGCATAGTGGAAAAATCCAAGCTGGCAAAGGATGTGTTGTTTTGTCCAAGCCTGTCACTCTGCTGGGACTTTTGGGGAGACATGGACACTGCTCCCTTCCGCTGGGAGCTGTCTATTCCCTGGGTGCCCCATTCTGTGCAGTGACCCCTTTACCCAGGAACAGGCTGTCAGGTAAGGTGTGGGTGTCTCACCCACCTTGAAGATGCTCAGAGGCCTAAGAATTGTTGTGATTCATTAACTCTGCAAGACGGGCTTCTGTCTGCTGGAGCAGGGGTCACCAAATTTTGCTATAAACAATTGGATAGTAAATATCTTAGGTTTTGTGAAGATGTTAAAGAGAGGATGTCATGCCAGCACTTCAGTGTAGGAGGGAAAATTGACCGACTTTCCCTGCCCGGTTAGTCTGGGGTGGGCCATCCCAGGTGGTCAGCACCCAGAGGCCTGTGCTGGAAAAAGAGTGACCACGAAGGGGTTGGGGCCTGGCAGACGGGGGCAGGAGAAGTTTTGAGGAAACGATGTGGGAAAAATGGTCAATTTCATTTTATATCTCTGTGACACCCAGCCCTGGTGGGACTCCCTGAGGGTCTGTCTTGGGCAACTTGGCTGGAGAGAGGCAGCACCCTGAGTCACTGACTCCAGAACCACACATCACCCCTCCCCATGAGCACTTGTCAATAATAGGGTCCCTGGGGGAACCAGTACAGATGGCAGGCTGAGCAGGGAGGCGGCTGGGCAGAAAGGGAAGATGGTGCTGATTCTCTATCTGTAGCTCACCTTGCTCACTGGACAGTGCCCTGGGTGGCACTTGTTGGGAGTCGCCCGGCTCCAAAGACTAACTTCCCCATCCCCCAAGAAGAGCCATCCAATTGTGAGCCCTGCTGGCTCAC